ATTTTTATCAGTGACCATCTTCATACTAGAGCTTTATGCAATCACTAAAAAAACCCCAAAAAACAAACACATCATTTTACTCTTTCCAACATAAGAACAAGGTCTCAGATTTCTTCTTTTCTTTTTCTCCACCACTGTGGAGAAATGCAGAGGTTTGAGGTGCTTCTGAAAACATTTGGTGTTGGTAAGATGTGCAGTACTGCTTTGTCCTGGCTGAACCTTCCAAAATACACTTTCCTGTGTATTCATTGATGTCATCTGACTCCTAAATAAGCATATAAGCTTAACTGAGGACAGTTTTGTATCCATTAGGCTGGAAGGCAAGGCTTCAGTAAGGCTGAGAAAGAACACTTGCATTGCTTAAGGAGCCTTTTGTGTTTCCTTCACCAGTAAACAGTGAGAAAGAGCCATGGAAGGAGAGGGAATGATAACAAGGCAGCTGATACCAGCCATGGCTTTCACAGCCTGCAGCAGCTGACATCCAGACAGCCTCCATTTCCCACAGAGCTTCACTCGAGTTTTGATAGACTTGAGAAGAAAAAAAGAGAATTACAGAATATGTCCATAGGAAGAAGACAAGGTCTATTGGCAAACATTCCTTTCTTAACCTTTTGGGGACCCCCAAGAAGAATCTATCAGATTTTTGTACACTTCTCAAGGCCTTAGTGTTTTTCTGTGGTCTGCAGAGAGGCCTAAGAACCGGGGATCAGTTCCTGCCCAGCATCTATTACCAACAGGGGACCATCCATCACTGACTCCAAAATTATTTCCATTCCTAGTCATGACCTGAATCCATGTTGTGAATGATCCAGTGTTACCTTCAATTAGAGAAACTTGTAGAAATCTTAGCATTTTGTTTGTGATTGCTGGGGAATGAGAGGTTTGACAGCCCATGGCAGTGCTAGGTGGCATTTCTTCAGCACTGGCCATGCTATGATGCCTTGGCTGTAGGAACAGAAAAGTTCTCCCTGAGTAATCTGCTTCTTATTTTAATCAAATCTGGCAGCAGTTTTCCATGATTCTCACATTAGTTAAAAGATCATGGAACAGCATCACAAGGTTTGGGTCAAGATGCCATTAAGATAGTCTTTCAACATATCACATCACACACAGTCATTCTTTTTTTTTTTAATGTTTTGTGTATTTGGAAGAGTTTCTTTTTATAGTAAAATACAGTTAATAGATGTGTTGATGTTTAACTTCTGCAATCCAGTTTAAAGTGTTGATTGGAAATTTTAAGCCCAAGGCTCTATTTAAATAAAACAAAAACCAAATCCCCTCATCTCTGATGCTAACTCTGTTTATCAACTTTTTATGCCATCAGCTGTATTCAAAGGAATATTGCATAACAGCCACTGTATCAAATGGAAATACCAGTGAGCAAAGATGGAGCCAGTGGGTTGCAATAAAACAAAAGTCAAGAAAAAGCCTGACCATAGCACTTTGTAAAATCCAAATTGACAATTCTAGAACTCATACACAGAATGTTACTAATGTTATTAAGTTTAAATTACTCTAAAACTTAACTGGGTTTGGTAAACATGAACCTTTGCAGCCAGTGAGAAAAAAATTCAAAAGAAATCATAGTCCACAGAATTACTGAGCAGCCTAATTTCAGTGTAAAAAATACTTGAATTCACAGAAGTCTAGCCAAAGTTGAGATGAAGAAGTCCAGAGAATTGTGTGGAAATGAAGTTTTCCTACATGTTATTATAGAAACACATAAATAGGTTATTTCCAGAATTTCTGGGAAACTACAGAACTGCTGAAGTCTCAGACCCTGGAAACTGCTGACTGAAGGTGTTGCAATTCTCATCAGTTTTATTTTGGGAAGACAAAATCTGGTAATGACAGTCAAGATGAAGGCAGGAGTCTGACAAGAACTGCAATAACTTAGTTCAGCAGCTGGCAGTGCTCACAAAGTACATGTGTGTGAGACAATAAGTAATTTTCTTTTTTAGATGCAGCAAAAAATAAAGTCTCTGCTTTCCCTTCTGATAAAAAAATCAGTGAAGGAATCAGAAGCATTTAATTTACTAAGGAACCCAAAAAAACTTTTATTTTCTTTCATTGAAGAAGTAAGGCTTACAGTGTGAGGTTACATTTAATATTATATACAGTAAATTATTAAATAAAATTGAAAAATGAATTGTAATATTTTCCATTTTCAAACTTTGAAGGGGAAACATTTTCAATTTTTACAAACTATTTTCTGTTTTTCCTTGCAAACTCTTTGGGTTTCAGAGGGTGCAGATGAAAGGTCTTATATGGCAACAAAAGATGAAGTTCTGAAAATTCCCAGTGATTTGTCAGAACTTTGTTGAGACTGAAGTCTTTTCAAGAAACTTTTGGGTTTTCTATAACTTTATATTCCAATAGAGAAAGTGGTCCATAGAAAATTTTCTAGTAAACTGTAATATGCTTTGTGGCATGCAGGACACTGCTTTTGTCCAGTATTAGGGATACTACTTTACAAAAATAAAAAAGAGCTGTGCTTTTGGGGACCTGCTCCCCTCCTGCCCCAGGCATCTCTCTCCACCCAGGAACTTTGTCCACCTTCCACAGAAACTTCTTCTTGTTCAGTGCACAGGGACAAAAATGTTTCGCAACAAGCCATTATTCTTTTTATCTGAGGTTTGTTATCACACACTATCCTGAGAACATCAACAATAAAAAAATGTTGATAGCAGTTGTCTGTACTGGCACAGGTCAGCTGTCATAAAGCATTCAGCACCAGGAGATTCACCTTTCCCATCATTCAGATAAGAGCTATTGATTGTAAGAGCTCTTCTTAACGTGCAATGTAAAACATGGCCTTTAATACAGTTCAAATACAGCTTAGTGGATAGTTAGTAAGAGTTATCAAATGCTATTTGCTACTATTCTAGCAATCTTTTAGGTGGGTTCAACAGTCCACCCATATTTAAAAAGGAGAAGCTTTGTTAGCCCCTCTTTCTTCTTGGCAGACCCTTTACAGAGGCCAAGAGGGGGTGGGTAAGTGGTTTCACGTGCAGAGGAACGTGTGGCTTCTGGGGGCATCACGCAGCAAAAGGCGCTGACCGAGGGTGGTTTCGGGTTTCCCAACAGACCCGTGGTGGGAGCTATTGCTGCTAAGTGACCGTGCCACTCAGATCAGAGCTGTGTCTTTCATGTTACACTAAACCCAGACCAGGCCCTGGCAGCATGACCTCATTAACCTCATGACTCTTGATCTCTCAATTATGTCCAAGGCTCCACTCACTGAAGAATTTGGGACAAGTCTGGCTCCAACACTAATTTATTTATTTCCATAAATTATCTATTTACATTGGCTTGGAGGTCAGCATCTTTTTTTTTAAAGACAGTCACACTTAGAAGAGATTATCTATGTTTTTGAGATGCCTTAATGGTCTAATAATACAGATGTGGGACAGACAGTGTTGTAGAAGGAAATTTAACCTGGGAATTCATTTATGATCCAAAATTTCATCAAGAAAACTAAAAGTTATATGTTTGAAGTGACACGAGCTTTATTGCAGTCATGCAATTATATGAACTAGTCCTGCCTAAGAAGTTAAAATGCCCTTGTTCAGAAAGCAGCTGAAATGTAGAAAAGAGCTAAGCTGTAGGAAGATATCAAACAGGAGCACAGATAGACAATAGCAGTGTGCAAACACAGGGAGGTGACAGCTCTGTGCTTACACAGAGGTTACCCACACTTCTCATTAACAGCAGAACATTTCTGTCTGATCCAGTAGGAAGGCTCCGGATCAATGCTGGTATCTTAATCCTGTTACTATTTCTTCTGCAACCCTTGGTGTCATGTTCAAAGTTAAAACAGTCACAGGATCTTTGCTTCTTGTTCTGTCCTAGACTCACACAGGATGCAAAACATTAAACACAAAATCAATTTGGCAGAGGAGTCTTCTGGCTATTGCTCCAGAGCTCCATGTTCTTCTTACAAATTCTCTCCAAGAAAAGCTACTGCGTTTTCATTTACAGAGGTATCTGAGCAACCTTGGATCAAGAGCTTTATTTTGATGAAAGATTTTGCCCAGAGAGGTTGTGGAGTCCCCCTCACTGGAAATACTCAAGAACCTTCTGGATGCCAGTCCTGCACCGGGATGACCCTGCTTGAGCAGGAATGTTGGACCAGATGACCCACTGTGGTCCCTTCCAACCTGACACATTTTGTTATTCTGTGATTCTGATTCTGTGATTAAAGTCCTTCTAGATTTAGGCATGCATATAAATGTTCTATGGCAAACGCTCAGGATTATTCATGACAGTAAAGACAGACAACTTTTTGTTAGAATGGAGTGGGTAGGAGTTAATTCACATTAACATACAAAGATATTTCTAAAACTAACCCGTGATACATTGATGTTTCTCTGATTTTCAGTGTCACTGAGGTACTTTTAAAACTGCTGCCATTGTTCTTAAACACATTAAAGTTAGCAGCTGCCAAATGAGAAGGAAGAACACTTTCCTAAAATTTATATAGCAAGATGTATCATGTGTTCCACAGGGAAAATCCATCCAACACTCAAAGAAACACTGATTGTGTATTCAGATTTATTTGGGTGGTTACAGAGTGACTGTTTACCTTCATGTTGGTATGTGGTATGTGCATTCATCACTGCCATCGTTTAACTCTGCCCTCTAGCCTGGGCAGCCAGGAACCTTGAATTCCATTCCATGTCCTCCATCATCTGGTTTGTCCACATTTGTGCACATCTTCCAGTCCCAATAACAAGAGCTTTTCTGTAGCTCAATTAAAATAGAAGTTTTTTCTTCATTTGATGGACCACCACCCTTCATTGGATCAGATGAAAATCACTTATCTTGCCAGTGCACTCACTAATGTCATTGCAATTCCGTGTGTAATAAGCCGTAATCAGCAGCAGTAGATGTTAGAATCTGATTCTTTCAGATTTCCCTAGTTTTGAACTGCTTTCTGTACTAAAACATTAAATATGCTTAAAGTAAGACATTCAGGGTGGTTTTCATGTAGGAAAAAAAATTAAATAAGAAAACTACAGCACTTTGATCTGTATTTAATACTGCAACTTCCAAAAAGTACCATTCCATAGGTAGACTATAGTCTCAGGTCTGTGTTTAATAAATGTCAAGGAACCATCCTGATCTAGAGACAACTGCACAAATATGGAAGATGGAATGGTTCAGTACAATGATTTATTGAAGATTAGATAAAGTTAGATAAAATTATGATCAGTCATAGAAATAAAATCTTTCCTTAGACATTCTTCTGCATTGTTATTTACTACCAAGGATTATTCCCATAAACATTGCAGGATCACAAATTTTCTCTAATAAACAACAAAAGGTCTTCCTCCCTTTGACCTCCTCAGCTGGCCAGTCGTTGCAGCGCCCTTCTCTGGGTGTCTGACCCTTCCCATGACACTCTTAAAGACCTTCATTGCCTGGCAGCCTGGACTCTGCTCTGGGTGCTGGGGGCGGGCAGTTTCCTGCAGCAGTGCTCAGCCTCCTGGCCTATCCATGGATCCTGGGCACAGCACAGGAATCGTGAGCAGCACCAGTGGGAGGAGCTGCTCAGGGAGTCAGAGCACGGTGCACGCCATAGGGACACTGTACACTCCATGGCAGCACTGTGCCCTCCATGGGAACATTGTACACTCCAGGGGAACACTGAGCACTCCATGGCAGCACTGTGCACTCCATGGGAACATTGTACACTCCAGGGGAACACTGAGCACTCCATGGCAGCACTGTGCACTCCATGGGAACATTGTACACTCCAGGGGAACACTGAGCACTCCATGGCAGCACTGTGCACTCCATGGGAACATTGTACACTCCAGGGGAACACTGAGCACTCCATGGCAGCACTGTGCACTCCATGGGAACATTGTACACTCCAGGGGAACACTGAGCACTCCATGGCAGCACTGTGCACTCCATGGGAACATTGTACACTCCAGGGGAACACTGAGCACTCCATGGCAGCACTGTGCACTCCATGGGAACATTGTACACTCCAGGGGAACACTGAGCACTCCATGGCAGCACTGTGCACTCCATGGGAACATTGTACACTCCAGGGGAACACTGAGCACTCCATGGCAGCACTGTGCACTCCATGGGAACATTGTACACTCCAGGGGAACACTGAGCACTCCATGGCAGCACTGTGCACTCCATGGGAACATTGTACACTCCAGGGGAACACTGAGCACTCCATGGCAGCACTGTGCACTCCATGGGAACATTGTACACTCCAGGGGAACACTGAGCACTCCATGGGAACACTGCACACTCCATGGCAGCACTGAGCACTCCATGGGAATTCTGTACAGTCCAGGGGAACACTGAGCACTCCATGGCAGCACCGCACACACTCCATGGCAGCACTGTGCGCTCCATAGGGGCACTCTGCACTTCATAGATGGAACTGTGCACTCATGGCAGCCACTGTGCACTCCATGGCAGCACTGCACACTCCAGGGGAGTGGTGGATGGGCAGGAGCTGCCCCAAGGGTTCATCACAGCAAGGCCTCCCCCACGGAATCTCAGGAGAAAGTACCCTTGAAGTACCTCGTAACAAGTACCTCCTAAACAATGACAACGAGAAATGTTCTTCCTACCCCTAACCCTTTTAATTGAAGTTTTAGTGTATACACAGCAGATCTACTTCCTGGGAGGGAATCTTCCTAAGCTGCAAATTGTGTGGAATACTATATCCCTGGGACTTGAGTAAACTGCATCCTTTTTATTATTCAACTCTCAAAATAGGAGAAGCATTAGAGAAGTACATACTCTTGCTCACTACTTTTTCTCATACCAACCTTTGCCTGTGGATTCCACTCACTGGAATGCTTCTTGTGTGATTCCCATGGGTTTCAAAGGTATGATGAGAAGATTTTATCTTTGTTACATCTTTCCTACCATTCAAAACCTCCCAATAACTTTCTCCTTCTTTCCTGAGTAAACCTGGAACTTTATAAATCACTATCTGAAGAGAAATACCAAGAGGGAAATAAAGACCAATAAAGACCACTGCAGTAATTTCAACAACAAAAAAAAATTATTGGCAATTATATGGCTAAGAAAAGAGCAAAAATATATTTCTTTCAATTGATTTAAAATTCTGGTGCTTTTATTATATTGGGAAACCTGTTAAGCCCTCAGGGACAGATCCATTGACCTCTGCCACAAACCTTAGCAGGTTCCACAGAGAAAAAAGAAAAATGCAATTGGCCCAAAATTACTATATCCAGTCAAGTGATGTGAGTACCATAATGCTCTTCAAATGTAAATGTGTTACTCCTTTATTTTAAGAAAAGAGGTAGCAAAGCTGAGAAAGAGATCTGTGATAATATTGATTTGGTTAGTGTTCACTGAAATTCCAAGCCTACGAATCTCCTGGGATATACAAGACTGGATTAATTCAGCAGTGACTAGTGATGTAGGGAAAGAGCCAGGAAGGTCCAGGTCTCCAGCCCATTGTGAGCTACAATCATCTTACCTGCCTGAGAAGCAAAACACTTCAAGCTGACCAGTCACATATTTTCAAATACCAAAAACCACCCTGGAAAATTAAGTGCCTTCTCAAATTTTCTGTGCTGAAATGGCTGATCCCATTGTGAGGGATATTATCTTGGTTCAGTCAAGCAAAGGGGAGAAGAAAGTTGATTTTTCCCTCAAAATCACTGTTAGTACACTGACCTGTATTTTGAGTCACTAAGTCATTCACTGCATAGCTGTCTCTGTGCTGAAGCATGAGGTAGCCACACAATTAGAAGATCAAGTTGGTGACAAAAATGAGTAGATTCTTGTCACTACCTCCCAGAGCCGTTCATTCCAGTTTGGGTGCTGCTACTAGCAATTAGATATCCTTGTATCCAAGAGGAATGCATAGCTTGCTCCCATACTGCAAAACAAATGATGAGAAGTTTTTAATGATCTCAAGCTCCCACTCCTCTACTCTCATCTTTTGCAAAAAAATATACCCCCTAATCATGGCCTGTTAATTACAGTTACTTCATGTGAGAAGTAAGGCAGATGTCTGAAGCATAGTTTTAAAATGAGATAGGTGTGGAATTTAATCTAATGTGGTTTAGAAGTTTCTGATGAAAACTAGGACCATCACTGGTCCTCTCAGCTCTTCATTGCCAGCTTCCTTGGCAACTAAAGCATAGTCATGAGCCAAGGAAACATCCACAGGGCACTGTAAATACCACGTGATCTTCCAGCAATTCCCGTCACTCACTTTCTGACACCTGAAGTCAAGGGGGTTCAGCCAGCAGCTCGGAGGACAGCGCTCCTCTGCGGGCTGGGCACCGGACTTCCCTCCAAGGCAGGGGTCTGCCTGTGCTAAGAACAACACAGCTGCACGCTGTGAGAGCAGCTGGTGGCCAAGTGGGAGCCAATAAATAAGGCTCTGTCCCCCCGTGGCAGTGGAATGTGACAGTGGGGAGCGGGCAGAGCCAACAGCACCCGTGGGGATTCATCTGCGCTACCCAAAGGTCAAGAACCAGTCACAGGTTACAGCCCCAGCACGCTGCTGTCACCTTTAAAGTGAGATCCCCACTCTGCAAGAAAAAAACACAGTGAATTGGTCAAGAGGATTTCTGCTTTTTGCCATAGATGCCTCCAAATCTGAGCTGTAACATCAATTGTTTCAAACAATCCTTTATGTCAGGATCTTTCAGGAAATGGAATAACAAAAGAGCTGAGTAGGATTTTGACTGAGGCATTGAAAATATGCTAATTGCTTTAGCCAACTGATAGATTAAAACAGAAATGCAGTATTTACCTAATTCAAGGTATTTCCCTCAGTGAATATTAAAAAATCTTCACAATAAAATACCAAAATTATACTGAGGCTTGTTTCCTGAGTTCTGAGACTGGTTCTAAATTACACTTTAAAACAAATAATGAAATATTGCGTTTATATTATATTCAGACTCAATTTTTCTGGTTTTTTTTCTTTATTTTTTTTTTGTATAGAGTTTTCTACATTCAAACATATTTCCAAAAATTTGCAGTCTGTTTCCCACTCCATTCTCAAAAGATCATTTTAGAAATGAATATTTTAAATTTTTTTTAAAGTTGCAATACTTGTAATGTAAAGACAATAACTAGCAACTCCATTAGAAGTACAAATGTAAATTTTCAGTGATCCTTCCAAAAACCCATGGTAGGTCCACTGTACACATCAAAGGCACAACTGTTTATGTTTAATAAGCTAATAAATATAGTAGACAGTAAAGACAATATAGAAGGACCAATACAGAACTGCACATGAGTGATAACTGGAAATAAATGCACTTTAAACAGACTAGAGATAGAACAAACACTTATAAAGTGGTTCATTCAGGTGTGATTTGTACTGCTGTAATTAACTGGACACTGTCCCTTACAGGATTTTTCTTTTATATTGTGAAAATACTATTTTCTTCTCACATTTGCCACCTTGAAATCTGAGAAAAAGCCATTACCAGAAATATGCAGTTAATATTACCCTGAAAATTAAAAGCCACAATGCAAGGAAGCACTGACTTGTTAATACCTGGAGGGCCCTGATTTGATTATGCCTCCTATCTCTTGTTTGTAACATATTTTGACTATATAGAACTGTGCTTTTATTTATTTTTTTTACCTGTGATTTCTTTCTTGTAGATGTGTAAAATACATTTATCATCTCTCACATTACATCCAGGTGTCTGATTTCAAGTTCTCCTATTCTGGTATGCCTCCCATCCGTCTTGTATTGCAAAGTTATGTGAAGACTTTCAATTCCTCGTATCCAGTGTTCTGCTCAGATTTCAATAGCAGCAAAAAGCCCATATTCTCAAAGCCATAAGACTATTTCTAGGTAAACTTTAAACTAAGATACGTCAGCGAGTTGGAACCATAAAATTAAATTACTTTTAATGTTATATAATTTTCTTATCAGAAAAGGATAACCATTCACTGACAAATAGATATGATCAATATAAACTTGAGTAGCAACATATTTGTGGATTTATCTCAAAGGCTATCTTGTTTAAATGATCTTCAGAAATTCCTTCATAATGCAAGTAGAACTAAATGCCTGATGCAAATGATTTCTTGTGTTTGCTTAGATTTTTAAACAAAATTGCTTCATTACTGCTTGTTACTTGTTTCTGTTAATTTACTATAGATATTCAAATAAGAGTTGTATTTATGCTTAAAGGTAAAGTGGGACTAAAAGCATGTGGTCTTACCTCTTCTTCCCTTTCCTGTATAAATTTGATTAAACTTGTAGGGATTTCTCGCAGGCATCTGACTCCAAAAAAAAGCTGTGGTCACTATATGCAAAAGTATGAAAAGTGTGCCAAAGGGCTTTAAGGCTCCAAATCCCAGTCTTAGTTTTCACCTTCTGAAATGTGAAGACAACTTCACAAGACAACAAAGAGTTTTGTCACTTGAGTAGCAGGGCGTGGGGAGGAACTTGAAGAAGATCTGTGGGTGCATGTAAAGCCATCCCGAACTGGGTTTGTGTCAGCTCTAAAGCCAGGTCTCTCTACCAGACTGCAGTGAAAAAATTATGCTGACATCTCATCCTCAGCCAGTTGGGAATCTGCAGGGCTGTTCTCTACTACTTGGGTGACTTGCATTTAAATCTGTCTCACCTGGGGCGAGAGGAGCTTTGGGGCTGCACTCCACAAATCGCTGCAGCTGCTGCTACTGGATAGTGCATCCTCCCTCTCCCCATTACCCTTCCACAACCAAGAGTCTGTCAGGCTGGGTTCTCACCAGGCTTTTCTTGGCAGTTTGTTGAATTTATTCTTTTCATAGAGCAGTGCTGCTATGATAGGTCATGGATAAGCCCTGATCTCTCATATAGTTGAATTCTGATGACACATAATCGAATTCCAGACTCAAAATTCCATGTAATTACTACACAGGGATAATTTCTCAGTACAACACAATTTCAGTTAAGCAAAAAAGGCTGTGGCCAGGTATAGGATGCAACTATAAGAAACTGCACCAATGAATGCATAAACTTCTTTCAGTTAATGGCTGGACATGACCCAGTCCAAAAGCTCAGGAGCATCCATTTCTTGGAGCTCATATGCCTGGATTGTCCATGGAGGTGCATGCTGAAAGAGACACAGTTGCTCACTGCTGTTGTTAGAAGGAATTTGTTTGATGTGAAGTCTAAAAATAAGGAAATCCCAAACTCTAACTCTTTTTACAGGTTTCCTCTGATAACTGGCAATGTATGACATTATGACACAATGTACTTTAACTGTGTCATGGTGAGAATTCCTGAGATTCCTCATAACGGCAGCTGGTTATACTTAGGAAAGAAACACATCTTGTTTTTGTTATTCACCACTAACTCTGGGGAGGAAGACAGCATCTTTCATACACTTACAATTGGTTCAAAATTAAATTCCTTGGAATCAAAAACATTGGACAACTTATGTAAGGTAAGGTATGAAGGTAAGGTACAAGGTAAGGTACAAAGTAAGGTATGAAGGATACAGTTCTACCTTTAAAATTAATCATTGTTAAACAAAACAAAAATAATTTGATGGCATACTGGTCTCCCAGACACTGTTAGTCTTCTACAGAAAAGGGAAAATTAAAGGATTTTTAAACAGCTTAGAACCATACAGGGAAAAATCCATCTGGGGGGAAAACAAAACCAAACCATCACACAGCAAAAACATCCCGACTTTTATCTCTGACACTGGCAATCCCTCAGCTGGTCCTTTAAAACTTTGGATTCAGGAAATCAGAGGTATTATGTGAAATGCAGCAAACCACAAGCAGCAACAAGGTCTTAGGGACATGTGCAGAGTTGTCTAAAGGTGTCAAAGAGATCAAATCCCAGAAATGTAGGCAGCCAGGGTCAAGGAAAAAGAAGTTTACAATGTCAGCATGTGTCAAGCTCATCCAGCAAGCTTTGATGAGCTTGCTCATCAAAGTTAATACTTTCTCCAATTACCTTTTCTCCTATAGATCTTCTGAAAGAAATGTCCCGCCACTCTGGCCTCAAGGATAATTGCTGAATTTGTGAAAGCATGTGACAGTCACCCTCACACAGCCTTGCTAAGCATTTAGAGTGCATTTTGTGACCTTGTGATGTGTGGAAGACACATAGAAAATGTGTTTGGGTCCAGCCTGCCTAAAATATACCTGTGCCTTTGGGGCTGGCTATTGGCTTGTGAAAGTCACAAGAGGGAAATTACATGCAGAAATGTAACCTTGGCTGATTATCTCATTAAGAATAAAAACTTAAAATAATGAAGAAATAAATTCTAGCCTTACTGCAATAAAACATTTGCAAATTAAACAACACACAAAGTATGAATATCACTGGATGATTTGGACATAATTTATAATTAACGTCTTGCTGGCAGCATTACCATATAAAATGAGACAATATTCAACACATTCAAGGCAACATCAATGTACACCCTAAAATTATAAAGATAGTTATCCTCAGAATAATTATATCAAAGTTTCACTGGCACTTTGGACAAGTCTGTGATAATATAGAGACCAATTTAAACTAAACATTTGTTTTATATTTTGTTGTGCAATATGGATTTAATAGTAGTTTAGGTCTGTAATCTTGGTGGTTTTCATTTGTCTGTAACTTTTTATTGTCACTTGTCCAAACTATGTAAGCATTAAGACTGTAGGACTATGACCAGTATACTAAGGTCAAGTCTGTTAGAAAAAAATCAGAAGTCTCAATATTGACAACTTCTTCGAAATGTGCTAAATGTGTGTAATTTCTAAACATTCCTCAGGAATGCAATTTCTCACTGCCATGAATTTCAATACAACTACTTGCAAATACTGTATGAGAGCAAAAGTGTTCAAGAACCTCAAGAATATTTGCAGCAATAAACTGAGAAGAGGCCTTTGATTGCAAAATACAGCCAATTAACCAGTGGACTAAATTGCCTAGACAGTGGGGAGAATCTACTGCTGGAAGTCTTTAAGAGCAGGTAAAACAGGATTGATCCACATGGAGGTGGAGCTGACCCAGCTCCACCTCCATGTGGATCCCTTTTAACAGGGATCTCTACTGCCTTGTGCTCCAGGATTGTCCTTCCACAGTCAATTGTTTCACTACACTCCTTCCTTGGCCAGACCCCTTATTTGTACTTAGCTTTCAGCTCATTCTTAAAGCCTCAGCCACCCTTACACTCCAGAAACCACACAGATTGACACAATGAACTGGTGTAATACTCCTATTCTGCATGTGCACTATTTTTTTTCACTTGCCTCTTCCTTATATTTTAGGGAGCATACGCTCCCCTGTGTGCCTGCATGGACATGCGTAAATTCTAAGCACAGGTCCCATTCCTGATTAGCCTTAAAATGACCAAAATAAATGTTTGGTGACACATGTTCCTTAATCAAGTTGTATGGGTGCATCTCACAATGTCATCTCACAACTATGACGCAGTGGGCAATAGCTGAGACTGTACAGTACACAGAGGTGACACATTTTTTTCTAAAATAAAAGCATGAGTAAATATCTAATAGCAACACAAACTTACATTATGTCATCAGTTTTGAAGAGGAAATTACTCCACAGATTAATGAGGAATTCTTCATGGAAGTCAAAGGTATGATGTAGTCTTATAACATTAATCAAGAGCTAAATATGATCTGACCTACTTCAAACAGCCCAGCCTTTAACAGAGAGATTAAAAAAAGGCAGAGTATGAGAGTCCATATTTATCTCTGATGTAACACCAACAATGCCAACGGAATTCCTTGAAGTTCTGAGTGTCTCAGAGCACCACATGGCAAGTGCCACAGGTCATCCTGTAATCTGCAAGGTATGATGGATTGAAAAAGCAATGACATTTTCCTTTCCTATTTAGGAAACATTATACTAAGAAATAAGATATCACAGGACTCTATCTCAGAAAATTGTTTATTACCATGCAACAATGGATGTATCGATTCATTAAATAATTTTACAAGTTTGAATATAAACTCACTCTAGGAAGTCCTCTGAAATGAACAAATCATAAAATTTCCTAGAAAAACTGATTTTTTTTTCTATATTGTACACAGTAAACATAATTTTGCTGTATATAACCTTCTTGAAAAAGCAGTGAGAAAATAAATAGATTATATTTTATTTTCTCAAACCCCTAAAACTTGGAGATCATTCATCCATCTGATCAAGTCAGACTTACTGTACTGATCCCCAGACACAGTGATTCCCTCTTCCTTGGTGCTGACACCAAACACGATAGTGTTCCCAGACCCCCCTGAAGTTACGTTCTAAAGAGAGAGACATTAATAGATAATGACTGGGAAGAGAACACATAAATACCTTTTAAAAAATTAACAAACCTCTATTTCCTTGGACACATGAGCAATAAGAAAAAATCACCCAGTATCTTTTTAGGAAATACCTCTAAAATTTTCTCAGTCATAACTTGCTTCTGGCTTTACACTCCATGACAAGGGACACTATTTTCTTGTGGTGATGAAGAGTGTCCACTCTGGCCAAAGTTCCTAGCCACTGACCGACCTTCACATTTAGCATTTTCAGTCACTCTGATCAGGACCTGTAACCCAAGTGCTGCATTTCCAAAAGAACAAGACCCTTGCCAACAAACTGGGAACTCAGCAGTCCCAGGGAGGGGGGATTAAAGAAGCTGTTACTTTCCCACTGTTTCCAGAACAGGTCTGTGTCACACTGTTTACATCATGCATCATTCATCTGCTGTGATGAAATGTAACCCTGCGTTTTAAAAAAAGACTTCTGCAACAGCGAGGATACTCTATCTTTGTGAGAAGCATCTCACATATTTTCCATAGGCATCAACTGCTCCTGCTTCTATTTAAATCTGTGTGGCCCTCTTCAGAGGGCATTAGTCTCTTCAGGAAGCCCATTCAGAAGGTGCTGTGCAGAAGAAGAGGAGAAGGCAGGATGGCAGCAGACAGCAGCATGGCTCCCGAGGAAAAGCCGAGCACCGCTCCTGTGAAAAGGGCTGTCCATAAGATCCGGATGGCCAGCCAGGTCTTCAGCTTGGCACGAGGCTGGCAGCAGTGGGCTTCTGACCACCATGTAAAGCAAGAGCAAGAGCCCTCTGGATGGGTCCCCACTGCAGTAAACTCATCAGCTCAGCCTGTACAAGAAAGTTCCTTTGAAAAATGGCAAATTCCATCTGTCAAGAGGGACCAAGAAAAAGACGATGAAAAATCCTTAGCAAAGGATTCAGTGACAATAAGAGATGCTGAAAAAAAATCAAGGGAACCAGATGAAGACCTCGAAATGTTCAGCATTAAAAGCAAAGAGGTGACCAAAACAGTTGTCAGCAAAGCCTATGAACGAGGAGGCGATGTCAGCCTCCTCAGTGAAAGATATGACGAGAACAACAGCAGCTCCGAGATGACCAAACTCAAAGAAGAATCAAGTGCTATTGACAAAATTCTTAACAACAAATTACCTTCAACCATAAGGAGGAAGTGTTCAAATGTGGTATCAGAGCTGACCAAGGGCTGGGAGAAGATGGAAGACGAGGACAAAGATGGGGCCAAGAGAGAGCTGCTGCTGAAGTGTCATGATGACAGCCTCGATGCCCAGGACAGTGGCTATGGGGAAGCAGAGGACAAGTTCGAGCAGGAGGACAGTGACCGGGAGGTGACAGCTATGAGGATTAAACGGCCTGTCCCATCTCTGTAAGTAAAGCATCTTCATTACAGCAACACAAATGGCAGAGGGGCACAGCTTTCCATGAGGAAAATGAGGGGCAGGATTAGTAGGAAGTGGTCAAAGATAAACTATTGTTCTTGATTTAGAAGACATTATTCCAAATTCAGGAGACCTTTCACTTATCACTCCATGCTTAAGTAGTTACTCAACATAGGACTATGTAACTAATACAAAAAGTTAGGAAGTTATATGTGGGAGATGTTAATTATAATTAATTTTCACACTGGATTTACCAGTTCATCAAAATAACTACTTATTTCTTAATACTTCAGTCCATATTTCAGAATCACAACTTTTACCTCATCAAGAGCCTTCAGCTACCCATTTATTTCAGCAAATGTTGTCTAAATCAATATATTTGAAAAATATTATTTCCAAATACTTATTCATTATTTTGCTTAGTATAAATTGTAAATACTCTCAGGAGCAATTTGAAGAGAATGCCCCAAATTAATGTTGAAGGAATTACTTCCACACACTTCTTACCAAAAGTTGGGTTCACAAGCTTCTTTGGAAGCTTTCCATGTGATTTCCATTTCCATTTCCAATTGATGAATTTGGAATTCGTCAATTCAAAGAAAGGAAAATTCCACAGTATCTTGGACCCCAAGTTCACACCATATCCCAATCACATTTTCAGAAATTAAAAACTGGGTCAGCATTGACGAGGAAAAAACTGATGAAAATGCCAAAACAGACTTTGTGATACCTGGGCAGACAGGCAGGCAGGCTGTATCACGGTCACTGTTTTGGCTTTACACCTCACTACTGATGAGCATTATTGTGACCATTAGACTGTGACTAACAGAGTTGTGGATTTCAACCATGCAGTACCTTTAAGCACAGCTATCTGAACACACCCCCACAGCTACTTTAACTATTCAAATGGAATTAGAATGATGCTTTGCTGTACAGCTGAGCAGGCAGCTCCTGTAAGAAGAAATGGTTAACAGCCCAAGTGAAAAAAGCTCCCCAGTAACCCAGGGCTTGAAAGTTTTTGGTACCTTGCTTTTGGCATTATTTGCCCAGAAGGTCAGAATGCATTTAGGATGGTCATTCTGGTTAACAAGTTAATTTAGTTGATTGTTGCATGTAAAGCACTTCCTAGGGTGGGTAGAAGTTCAAAACCTTGACTTTGGGTGCACAATCCTTTGTGTAGGTGCAGTAGAAACATGAAAAAAAATGCTTCTATGTGTACACAATTCATGTTTTAAACCTGTCATTAAGCTAAACAATGGCAAAAATAGCACTTCAGCAACTAGAAATGGTTAAAATACAAGCTGCATTAGAAAAGTTAGGTTTTTTCAAGCCCAAATGAGGCACAATAAAAACAAGAGGACAGATAAGATGGTTTTTTCAACCACTGAGAAGATGATTTGGATGAGGAAGGGAATAATAATCTTCTGCTAAAAAGGAAAATTAGTTTCAGTAGAAAAAGGAGGGAATACATTCTAGACCATTACAGTAAGTAACAAAGACTGCACAGCCTCCTGCTGTCTCAGTCCCCCTCTTCTCTCCACTCAGCCTGGGGAACCGAAGCTCTAGGACTTTCTCAGTGCTCATAGTCCCTGGAGAGAAGGGGAAACAGGCTGTGCTGTGAGTTCCTCCTGTGGCTGAGGAATAAGCCCTCCGTGATGATATCTACTCATAAACTCCACTGAGACTGACGGCATCAGTTCTTCAAGGCAATTTTGATTCACTTAAGATTTTTTCCTCCCCTGCCTTAACTGATAGCTTCCACATGGAGAGCTAGTGAAGCAATCTGAGCTTCAGCTGGAGTTCAGACTGTGCTGGCACAGGGTTTCTGTACCCTTTGAGATAGCCATAGGCTTCAGGAGACAAATTCCTTTGCAGAGCCAAACACAGTTTCTCTGACAAAGAAGGCACAATTCAGGTGAAGGGACAAAGGATCACAGTTCTCCCTTTTTCTGCAGGCCAATAGCTTATATAGAGCAGCATTTGGTTTATTGTTGGGAAACCAAATTGTTTAGATTTACCCCACTAATATATTTTAATGCTTCCTGCCAACACCTACCTGTTAGTCATGTACACAAAATTACAGGTACAGACACGCTGCCTACTCTCAGGATGCTCTGTAGTCACACCACAGAAAAAAGGAGCACTTTCTTGGCAACTCAGTATGCTCAACTCTTCTGATGATTTTTCACCAAACTGATAGGGAATAGTATTTTGGAGCTTTTTAAACACAGTTCCTCAGTACAGTGAAGCCAATCTTAGGGCAACTCCACAGCTAATAAAGTAGTGCAGGTCTCCTAGTTCTTTTCCTGTCCCTGGCACTTGGTGTTTGCAATTCTTATCCTAGCACAGCCCTGCCCAATAGTGGCATCTTTCTGGTGCACCCATGTGAACTAGGGACATCTCTATGACTCCTATTCTCTATTTCAACCAGCTTAGTAGAAAACAAAGATATGTTCAAACAACAGGGGAATAGAATTTTCTGCAACTTTGCAGCCCCGTGTGCTGTTTGCTGAGTGCATCTTGATTTTCTGGTGCTAAAATTCAGCTGACATTACTGGGGAGGTTGCAGAGCAGCCTTTTGGGAAGTAAAAATATAAGAAAACAAATTACTTTGGCACAGCACAGCATAGTCCCAATGGAGTTCAGTACATATACATTGACAGGACATGGACAGCACAATGACTAGCTCAGACTGTCTACAGTTCCCCCACAACATGTGAGACTGGCCACAAGAGGAGAGAGCATCTGACTGGAGTCATCCAGAACTATTACACACACATACACAAAAAAAAAAAAATTCTCGGAAGGTCTTTCCTTATCCTTTGTCCTTGACACTTTAAGGCTTCTACCCTACCCACGGGAATGTGAATTTTGGGCTTCAATATTTGCTCAGATTTATACTCCACATACAGAAGCAGACAGAGCTACAACTCTCAATTAGCTTTTTGCTGCTGCTATAATCATTGACATCTATTACAAGGACAGATTTTAGCAGGCACTACCCTCTAGTTTTGAGCCAGGTCATACACCTACAGCAATCAGCACCTCTAACCTCAGGGCAGGCACACTTCAGGCTTGGCCAAGCAGGCAGGAATGGGGAACTGCATGCCTGACCAAAGGTACAGAAAGCGCAGGTGGTCAGCAAGATATTGTTTTGTTCCCTTACAGAATTAAGTCATTCTGGGATAAAGTTTGTGAAAACAGGCTCAGATCGGGGCTGGAAGGTGGTAGTGTAGACAGGATAAAGCTGTGGTCATGGAACCTGCCTTTGTGCGCAAACTGAATGTGGACTAACAGCCCCTAGAGAACTAATTTAGAAGTGGTGAACTCGTGCCACCTGGTGGATTCCAGCTCACCCCTAAAGCGCAGAATCCAGTTCCAGCAGAGACCAATAAACAGCAGAACTGTATCAGGAAAGGAGGAGATGCAAAGCTCAGGTGCATTTCTGTGTCTTCCAGCGCCAGCCGGCTGAGCGAGGAGGCGCGCAGCAACGCGCGCAGGAAATGCAGCGCCGTGCACAGCCTCAAGGACAGGTGGCAGGAATGGGCCGACCAGCACATCATAACGCAGAAGCTGAATCCCTTCAGCGAGGAGTTTGACCACGAGCTGGCCATGTCCACGCGCCTGCACAAAGGAGATGAAGGGTACGGCCACCCAAAGGAAGGAACCAAAACTGCCGAGAGAGCCAAGAGAGCTGAGGCCCACATCCACCGGGAGATCAGGGACATGTGCTTCATCATTGAATCCATGGCCAAGCCACGGCCTGACGGAAAGATCCAAGTCACTTTTGGGGAACTCTTCGACAGATATGTTCGTATTTCAGATAAGGTTGTTGGGATTCTCATGAGAGCCAGGAAACATGGGCTGGTGGACTTTGAAGGAGAGATGTTATGGCAAGGAAGAGATGATAATGTCATAATTACTTTACTAAAATAAATTAGGCTATAGCCAGAACAACTTCAGGAAAACTTTTCTCCTCTTCTCCCTTGCCATTAGCATTTGGACATAAGATTCTCCTGTTCACCACATAGAAAAGTGTATTTTGTGAAATATGTATTTTATAACTAGTGCATGAAAACCCAAGCACCCAAATGAACTTAATTTTGTACCAGAAGTGCTTTCAGGACAATTAAGTTAATTACTACATAAAAATAAGGAGAAAAAGCTATATGGAATATAAGCAGCTGATGATAAAAGCCCTTAGCAATATAAGTAGCTACAGGAATATGAAACGTGCCAGATCAGAAGCTGAATGACGAAATAAACTCAGACAAAGTTCTTGATCTGAAAAATGCTCTTGTGCATGCACTAATTAATTGATTTAAATACAAATAAAATTACCTTATTTTAGTACAGAATCAAAGATACATTTGGGTTTTTTTTACAAGCACAGTATGTAACTATTACTGCAGTATTCTCTTGTTACAACGGTTGACACAGCTTTCTCTTACATATCACATTAAAAATTCTTCTTTTTATATATGGGGTTTTATATATTTATTGTATTTATATAACTATTTTTTTTAGATTGTTTCATATTTAAACTTATGGAGGTTGGAATGTAATGAAAAAAATGTTTTGATTAGATAGCTACCTACAAAATACCTTCTACGTAACATTGTGCAATGTCTTATCTGATTATCTATGCTGATACTGTTCTTAGAAATACAAGGAAAAATAATATATAACATATAAAAACTAGCCAGGTACTTGTACTTTTGTATACAGCAAAAAAGTGACTAACATCATCATCTTCTATTGAAATGTACGTCTGTGAAAAAAGAGAGAAACAGCATTCATAACTTTGAGGAAAATGGTGTTTCACACCACACAGAAATACTGACCTAATTTTACAGTATTTGCCATTCCAATGTCACTAAAATAATGTATTTCAGTCCAGCTGGAGTGGACTAAGTGCTAATGAACTAATGGTTTTAGGACTTAAAACTGTATTATTCACAAATCTGAGATCTCTGTAAGGTCTCTGCTACTTAGTGGATTAGAGAGATCAGTTTCTCTACCACTGTAAAAATAGTTATCCTGGTAAAATGTGTGTACTTCACAGGAAAAGCATTTGTTTCTGAGCAGATGTCTGGGCAAGTAATGAAAAAGAAGTGGTTTTTTTTCATTTGTTTCTGAGCAGATGTCTGGGCAAGTAATGAAAAAGAAGTGGTTTTTTTTCATTTGTTTCTGAGCAGATGTCTGGGCAAGTAATGAAAAAGAAGTGGTTTTTTTTCCCTTTAATATTCTTTCAAATAGAAAAGGCAAATATTTTCTTACAGAAGTAGAGGTGTATTAACATCTTATCTCTAATAAAACAAATATTGCTGTCTTATTATGAGTACAGGTACTCCAGTTTGAAGCTTCACTGTATAAAGAAACCAAATATTCTATAACTTAATGATACAAGAACTGACTACTACATCTATTCTAAATCTATGTAAATCATTAATACCTTAAGCATAGTTATATGACTCTACAGAAGAAAAAAACTGTAAGATGGAATCAGTGGAGCTTATTTAATACTTTCTTGAAATCTTAAGACTACTCAAGCTGATGCACAAAACTGATGTCCTAAAAATTTTTTACCTGCATATTCTTACCTTATTCTTCACATCTTTATATAATGACCTTTTATAGCTGTCTAAATTGTCTTGATAAAATTTTGTTGTCAAAGGAATGAATGAACTATAAATAAACCCTTAATTATTTCTTGAGTTATTCTCATACACACTAGAAAACAAATACATGTGCATGTTCAGTGAAGTAAGATGTCAGTAAGTTGCTTCAAAATATAAGCACACATATATTTTCCTTTTCATAGACTGTTAAAATATTTCCTCTGAAGGTTTCTCTGTCCAAAGCACCAGAAAAAGATTTCAGAGTACACGGCAACAGACCTTACACAAAACACCTGTACAAAAAATACACGCTAAAGGCAAGTAAGTGTCAAGTGAATTAAGCTCACCGATTGGTAGCACACTGCAGGTAACTTAAGCCTCCTCTTCAGTCATCCCAGTGTTAAAATCTATACAAAATAAACCAAACCCCCAACTTTTTCCTATTCTTCCCCTCAAACTATTCTATTTGCAATCACATGAGAAAACCATGTGATGTAAGTAGTATTTTTGCTCATACTCTCCACTATTTACCTTCGAGTAGGCAGGATGAGAAAACCATGTGATATAAGTAGTATTTTTGCTCATACTACTCTCCACTATTTACCTTCGAGTAGGCAGTATCATGCAAAATTTCTGAAAATAATTTACCATTTTTTTCAAAAATAAGTATTAAATGTTGATATAAGTAATGGTGTTTGGAAGCATTTAATGTAGTTTATATGCTTTATAGAATTTTTTATATTAAGTTGTGTGACAAATTTATCCATGGGGTGGGAGATAGTAAATCGGACCTCACTAAAAAACAAACAAAAGTACTCCCTGAATTACTCATCCTCTCCTACTATACTGTGTTACATTGCTGTGAAACTAGCACAATCTCTGCCAAATTTAAATATTCTAAGAGGAGAGATGATAAATGTCAAAACCTGCTTGATTAAAGCAGTCTCTGTAAATTTTTATTTAAGACCTGCTTTCTTAGTTCTGACTTGCTTTGAAAAATAAAACCTTTAACCTTTGAGATGATGAGCAACTCTCAGCTACTCTCATGGTAGCTTATAGTTGCACATTATTTTCTTACATACTGTATTCACTCCCAAAATGTTTTACTTGAAACAGAGCTCCTGCACTCTCCTGTCTGAAGCTAGTGCTGTTTTTGCACATCCTTGGTAGTGAAAAAAATTCCATCTTCTTCGGTAGCAACTTACATACATTTTTCATATTCTAATACAAAGTTTAAGTGACGGCATGAAACTTGTATCAGAAGAAATAAATTTGACTTTTACACCTTTGTATTTTTCCAAGTCTTATCACAGTGGCTTGAAGTGAGTGGAAGGTTCATTGGACATGTACTCCACCCAGCAGAAATCAGCTCTCTCCTCCACAGCAATAATTCCTTCCTGACAAATGTTTCTATAAAAACAAGGTTCAGTAACACAGCTCATTTTTAAAACAGGGGAAGGCTATCGAAATAAAATGAGCTGTATTGAAGAGCATGCTATTCATGGTGATATGTTCAATCATCACTCATCACAGAATAGATACTGGCAGCCTTCTCCTCCCACAGCCATTTCAGCTGCTATGTACACACTGCACTGCCCCAATTTCTCAAATAAAGCCACTACTGACACCTCAGGGCACAAAGCAGTTTAGCATTCAACAGCACATGTACTACCAGCAGTGGAATTATCACAAGAGGAAACAAACTATGGTTACAAAGTTTGTAAGGTAAGCAGGACAGCAGAAAGCAGAGCTGCCACTGGCACTTCTGCAGTGAGACCAGCCAGCAGCACTGGCTTGCACATACCACACCAAGTGCACACCATTCCCTCAGCTGGAAAATTCCTCTCTCTGCTCCAGAAGCACAGTGTAGCTCTGTATCATTGCAGTAGCATGTACTCTTTAAGAGGAGAAAGTTTTGTTCCCTTAATTGAGCTCCAAACTGAAATGACATCAGTAAAATACCTTGATGACATCTGCCCTTTTATGAAGGGAGAACGTATCAGTGTTTAAGATTCAAATACTGAATGAAGAATACAAGATTATTTTTTTAAGCTGAAGGAATAGTCAGTGTTCTTACTCATCTTCCAAGAGCAAATTTCTTAACTAATTTAGTATTTTACAAGCATGATTGCTAATGTACTGCTAACTAAACACTATCCTTGATTTCCACTTTTTTGCTTCCTATCTCTCTTCCAAGACTGGTCCAATACTTGGCAACATTCAGCTACTGAAGATTTTTGTGTGCTTTCATTTAATTATTCAAAGTATAATTATTTATAAAATTCTTCACACCACCCTCTAAAAAACTAAAATATGCTTTATTTGCAATATGAGCTTAGAATAGAGACTATGCAGTTGAATTAACCATTTTGTCAGCAAGGATGATCTGAGACTGTTCTTTTTCCCCTCTCCTTCTTCAAAATGGTTGAAGACAATCTATTTCATTCCCATTGTTTTCCATGGGGCTTTAAAAAGCCCCAGAACCACAAAAAAATCCCAAAAAAACCCAACCAAAACAAAAAAACCCACATCCTATACATTCAGTTGTTAAATGAACAGCAAAAACCAGAATTTGTGCTTCTAAACTCGACCTTCTAAATAACTGCAACTCAAGTTTATTTTTACATATATTTAGATTTATTTGCTATACATCACTGTGAGCTTATAGTACTTGAAATCCATTACAGGATTGTTTTTTTTTGTTGTAATAATCAGTTGTAACTCCACAAAGACAATAATACTGCTGTGGAAGACCAAAGGGGAGAAAAGCCATTTCAATTTATTTACAGTTCCTTATTTTGTAAACATTACTCTACACATTGTCTAAGTTCTAAGAAGGATAAAGAGATATACATAGAGACAGGAAACAAAGCCCTGTTTTTCTATTCATATTGAGCATTAGCATATTATAGATGAAACATCTGCCCTTTCTCGTTACCATAGCAGTAAGCTGTCTTCAAATAAGTTTTATTTTTTAACTTTCCAGAAATGTAAATATTTTGAAATATACAACTACATCTACGTAAGCCAACTCATTTGGCTTTTATTCCATTTCTAGAATAATTTAAAGTGCTATAAGCAATCCGTCAATCAACACTTTTCTATAATAACAAAACTACTTTAAACATTAATTTACAAGATAATATACAACATTTGTCTGAAATAGCTGAAATTTCAGCACAAAGTCAGTCACTGTCACACTTAACAGCAATTTTTTTGTTCTTTTTTGGTTTTTTTTGTTTTTTTTTTTTGCAGAACATAGAATAAAAGCTTTGAACAGTTTTGTTGAGCTGTTATTGCCACAATGGCTTATCAAGTTTTCTACAAAAGTGGACAAGAGCTACTGGAACTGTATTCTAGCCTGTCATTTATTTTTTGAGGTCACATGACAGTAAGTTTGCATATTCCACAAGTCTACTGAATTACAATATTGTCTACCTATGATACATGATGTCATTTTAATCAGAGCTGGTGCTAATTGTAAATTTACAACATAGACCCACTCAAAAACATCACAAGTATTTTTTTTCTTTGGACAGGAATAAGCTATATTCTTGGAGCTGATGTGCTACACGGCTACAACAGTATAACAGTATATATCTGACACTATGTTGAAGAAAGATGCATCTGTTTCTGTACTTTTAATGCCCTACTATAGCTACAAATTGTTCACTGAGTTTTGCTTGCTTTAGCCTTTTAATTTTTTGGAACTGTCATAATCTTACATTCTCTTGCTATTTTGTAAGTCTCTGCCACTTAGCTCAATATTGTCAGTAGTTGTCCCAAACCTGCGGATCATTAACAGCATGTGCAAAACACTCTTTAAATACAATCAGCATGCAGCTACAACACATAGTAACTGACTTTTTTCTACACATGAACAAGAAACAAGACAAGTGGCACTGTTGACTTTGGACATCTTCTAACTTCACCACATGTGAACTGGGATGCATTTAGAAGGAATGCTCAGCTTCTCATCCATTTGTGGCACCACTTGAATAACCCATCATTGGTCTGGACCAATCTCTGCAGTGCTGCTGCCAAATACCCACACGCAGCTTTCTTAGAGGTTCACAGAGGGCAACTTCATTCATAGACATAATTTGAATACAAAAATAATAAGCTATATTCAATGAAGCAGCCCCCTAGCAGGATTGCAGGAAAGGTGTGTGTGGGAAACCTGGGAGGCAACAGTAATATGGATAAGAAAATTTTGCAGGCCACAAGGCTCAAAGTAACTAATGTTATTTTTTAGCCCACAAGGTCAATATTTTGTAAAAGAGTCTATAGCTTAGAAAAAGTATGATAGTATATTACAGATGCAAGAGCATGAAAAACATCTGCTATTTAAAAATAATAACTAATGGGCACACTGAAAAATTATAAAAAAAACCCAAAATAGATAAGTAAAATACATTATATTGCTCCTAGGGATTTTTAAGCTGCACTGATTCATGTCAGGTTTGGGACAATAGCCTGTAGAAATAGTGAAATACTTATTCAAAAGCCCATATTTCTATGTCTTGAATAGTGAAGTCTTCTCGCTTAGAAAGTGTGTGATTCCCAAATGTTTTACATGAGTGACTTCTTCCATGGTAGAGATCACCATCAAGCCAAAGAGCAAACTCTCCTCTGCAAGAGAGACAATGTGTTAAAGCAAAAGACTGAGAGAATAAGCATTAAATCCATCAATGTATTTTGCATTCAAAATTTAGAACTGAGAAGGAATTAAAGGATTAGTTTTCAACACAAGTACCTCATGGCTGTTAATAAATTTATGCTACAAGAATTTTATTTTTTTTTACTATTTATTATTAATTTGGGAATATCCCTTTTACAGATATTCTGAAATAAGCTAACTAGAATTTAGTGTTTTCAGCCTCTTCCATTTTTATTAAAGAGATCACATAACAGCACTTTTATATCTAAAGAGAATGCTAGAAACAAATAAGGAAAACATTCTAGAAGCATATGCACCTGCATGGGCAGAAAAAAAACAGGACATGACATCGTATGACTTCTGGAGACCCTGGCATGTTTTGGGGTGTTTCAATTCAGGCCTCTTCTAGTTACACATAATTCTCACGTTTACATCCTTCCACAATCATATCCTGTGTCCATTCTGAATACATGAAGACACATACGCAAGTCAAGCATGGAAGGCATCATAACCTTGCAGGGCTGAAACTTTATGCCACATTATGGGGAAGACAAATCTGCTGTTTAAGTTTTGTCAACATTGGAAGCCAAACACCTGACAGACTAAAGTTTCTTGGCTGGTAACTGTTGAGTCCTGAGCTACCAAACTGAAGTAAATTCAAATTTTTCTTTTCAAAGGTGTCCAGACAAATATTTTAACAGATTCTAACTGTAACTTACCCTCCTCCACCAAAAGCAAGAGAATCCATGTCTCCTTTAATGAAAAACATGTTGTCTCCTGTCCATTTAAAAACCTAAGGGAAAAAAAAAAAAAAAAAGAAAAAGAGACTAGCAAGTAAAAATATCTGATAGTTTCATTTTGGCAGAAGGGAAACCAATCATCAGTAAAGACAGACTATGGGTGGGTAGAGGCCAGTTTAATGAAGTTGACACAGAAAATTCAGGAAACAGCTGCAGACAAAAATTCTCTGATGTTTTATGCTAATTAAAATAAGACCATTCCAAACCAGGTCGGTTTTGAGCACCAAAACTCCTACACAATGAAAAACACCAAGGAAATACGGTTAGATTAGATGATATGCCCCTAAAAAGGATGTAGTTTATGAATTTTTAGACAGACACCTGGAAGAATTTAAACAGTAGAAAAGTCTTCAATACAATTAAAGAGTCAGGTTAAATGTGTCCTTCAGCATGCAAACACTACCAATTCACTCTGCACATAAAGATTTCACAAAAAAAACTAGTGTGATGACTTTTTTGGGGGCCATCTTGTAATATTTTTCAGATTTAGTTAGATTTATTCCTTAAGAATTTTAAGATCATGCACTTGGGGTGGTGGTGGGGAAGGGAGCAAAAGCATACAAACTGTCATTACTAGTTACCTCAAAATCTGGAGAAAAAGTGAACATAAAAGTCTCCCCAGTGCCATAAAAGCCATCGCTCACTTTAAATGGTTCAGACGCTAGTGCACCAAAAACCTGTAGCAAAAATACATCAGAGCAAGAAAAACTTCAGAAAAACACCGAATCCAAGAACCTCTAATGATAGTAACTGATAAATCAAGTTGTAAATAATGTCAACTTAAAATTCACTCTACGAATTTCACTGTACCACTGTTCTGAGTGCACTGAGATATGGACTTTGCACACGTAAACTCTAAAAAGCAGGACAGATAAGACACTTTTTGTTATTTCAAGCATCTGGGTCAACAGACTAGACATCAGAAAACTGGCTGTTAACTTTTCTCTGTCAAACATTTTGTGACCTTAGACTGTACTTAGTGTGTGCAGATAAGTGAACTTACATAGAGCATTTTTTAGCATAAAAATCCACACTGAATTCAATTTAGTTTCATAAATAAATACAACAAAATGGGCTGGTGAAATACATAATCCATATTTAAGTAACTACATGCAATGGGTACCTTGCACGTTTCCAGCAATGGGAACCCTTGCAACTATTTCTTAGTCCTCAAACTATTTGAGTCTCTGTATCCTAACTTCTTTTAAGGGCTTAAGTCATTCTTTGAATAACTGCAGCAGTTTTGGTAGCTAAGTTGCATTCAGGTAGCTATGACCTGCCTTACTTCAGGCAAACATCTTTAGGGCTGATACCACATCTAGTAAATAAATATAAGTAAAAACGATGAAAGTAAATGTAAGATTTCATTCACAACAGATATTCCTTGACAGGAATTAACCTTCAGTTAAAGTACCAAACAGAGTTTTGTCAAACCTAAACTATCCCAGTTCAGCCTCTACACAGGTGTAAACTTTACACACAACACTTACTCCAGAGTTTGTCTTGGATCCTCTCAAAGATGTTATCTGTATATCCAGTAAAACACAAAACTAGTCCATTCCAACCATGCAGAAGACCTTACGTATTTTACTTAAGAGACTCTGAAGCTTTATTTCAAATTATGGAATACATTTACATATTAAGAATCTCAGACAGTTTACCACATAATTCCCTACTCAATGGAGGACTGATTCTGAAGCTATTAGGTTGACTCAATTTTGTCCAGTTGAGCTTTGAGTACCCTCAGGAATCAGGATTTGACAATCTCTCTGTGTTCTATATATGTCAAGCTGACTCTTGAAAGACCACGTCCTTTGCTATAAGCCATGATAATTGAATAAGGCTTTACAGAAAAAGTGCAATCTGCTTCCCAACAGTTACTCTAGTTCTTGAGAAGGGATGTCCCTAGGATTTTTCCATGAGATTTGATTTTTGTGGCTAGTTGTTAGGGTGGATAACTGAAATTCTCTGTCCTAGGTTCAATTAGTGGGTAACTAAAATTCCCATGTCTAGGTTCAATGCATTGAACCTAGAAGGTGTGCACACTTCTGCAGTGCATACAATCTGAAGAATGACTTTTCATGAAACTAGACAGTCCTTGAAGTGGTTAACTGTATTAATCCCATTTCTACACCACCAATTTAGTGACTCATGTTCAGGAATCAGGTACCAATTTCTCTTCAAATGGCTCTCAGGGCTCACTAACAGAAGCACACACCAGTAGACAGACAATCCATAACAATTGTAATGATGCACCTATAGATTTCATGGACACCTTTATTAAGGAATCTCCTAGAATTGACTGGAGCAGGCAATTTAGGTTGCTTTACCTTCCAAATTCCAACTAGGCATTTCTCAGCTTTTACACAATTAAAGTTTGTAAAAGTTCAGTGTTTTTTTCTTTTGTTTGTTTGGCCAGCCATTTAAATAAAATTATTAATTGATCTGAAAAAGAAAGCAAGATTGGAAAAGGTTTTTGAATAAAAAAACTCTGTAGTGTGAGGGTTAGCAGCCTTAAATGGAACATTACGAAGAGTTACAAGGTACACTTGCTCCTTACTCAACCTATTATCAACACAATAAAAAAGCAGTCTTCATAAACATGGACAGGTATCTCAGGGGAAGCAGCCCAGGAAAGAAATTCATTCTAGTTTAAAAGAAAAGTGCCTCAACCAAGGATATAACAATTCCAGCATCTTTCATAAGCATGGCAGATACAAAGTGAGCAGAACGACGAATACCTAAGAGGACTGAGCAGGTATGCTCAGCAAATGTCAAGAAACTATCTGGTCGTAATTCTGTCATTTTTCAAAATAGCTAAATCTCATTTAGGATCTTCTCTGAACTAGAATCTTAGAAAACAGGCAGTGATCTTGGAGTGTAAGGTATGAATACCTATGTGGTCTCTTAAAACACATTTTTGGAGAGCATATATTTATCTTGGCATACTACTAGTGAACTATTCCTGGACACATTCTCCTATAAAGTATTTAAGAGTTTTTTTAGTCACGGAAAGCAGTTTTAAAGTACTATCTGCCAAGAAGATACAAGACATTAAAATTAAATTAACCTCTTTCAAAAAAATCATCAGCTTCACAAATAAAATGAATTACCCAGACTAATTATCAAAGAGCATAGTTAGTTACCATTGTCTTATGTTTCATGATTGTAGATCCTTGCACGAAGAGGAGAAAGACTCTGTGCTTAATTCCGTGTTTTGAACAGAAAAATAGGGCAAATTAATTTTCTGCTGTCAAATGCAGACATTTTTCATTAACAACAGGAGACAGAGCTACTGAAAACACCACTCCCATTACACTGGTGAAGGACTGAACTTGTAAAACTCATCTGAAGCACTCCTCCTGCATATGCTGCTCACTGAATAGACTGGATTTCCCCCACTCTCGTGTGGAGTCCAGTGACTACTTGATCCAGAATTCCAGGGCATGCTTTCATACATACTCCTAGGTATAAGGCTGTAAGCTGAGATTCAGCAAGGTTTGTTTCACAAATAACCACCCCAAAAATATGAACTCCATGTTTTCACAGGGCAACCATGACACTTTTTCAACATTAAAGCCAAGATGCTCATACACAAAAAGTAACATGAATTCCTTCAGCAAGAGACAATACTACACAGTGGTGGCAAGACAGCCCCACCAGAAAAAGGACATTTTTTTCTGGGACAGATCAGGTACTAGGAAGGAGGTGTACTTACTAATTTATGAGAAGCTAATAAGTGAATTAGAGAAGTCACCAAACTACATTTATGAGACTGATGAGTATGCTGAGACATCTCAGGTCTATTCAGTTGGTTCTGTCTTCAAAATCAAAAGGTAAATGAAAAAAATATTTTTAAAGAACTTTGGGGAAAGAGTCCACTACTAGCAGAGAGTTAGAAGGGATTTTTCTTTTTAAGGGATTGCTAGGGTAGGAAACAATGGAAAAACCAGGTTGCGACTTGAATATGAAAAGATACCCTTTTCATTTACTGTTTTCAAACCCCCTGAAAGAGACCATGTTTTCTGAAAATAAAAACTGGGAGAGGTAAGTGAACTGAATGCTGCAGATTTTACAGCAGTTCTGTCAATTTTTCATGAAGCAATAACATGCTTCCACAAGCAAACATAGAAGTTGCAGAAAAAGAATAAGACATTTCATACTGCTTACAGTGTCCACTTGTTACTAGATTATTCAAGAGAGGTTGTCTGCTATTCAAACTGTGAGATGTGAGTCACTTTCTGAAATTCATAATCCAGTCAACAGAAAACAGAGCACTACTACAGAGACTCCAAGAACAAGTTGCTAATGTAACAAAGGCAGTACAGCTCTTTAAAGATATTGGCTGCAGCCACAGAATATACCAAGAAGTACTACACACAGCTAATAGCGTTCCAACTCAACAAGATCTGCCAGCATCAGAAAGTTTTAGAGACTGTATTTCTTGTGCCTTGAGTGCATAAAAAAAATTTAAAATTATATTGATTAATTGGATATTACCAGACTCTTGCATTATGACAGCTAACTTATATCATTAAAGTATTTCCAAGATGTGTAGTATGTTGGAGGTCTTCATAAGAGTAAAACACATTTCTAAGGAGAAAATTTGCTTGATACACAAAATTTTAACTTGTTCGATACACAGAATTTTATCTCCCATGATGGACTAAAGCATCCTTTATACTCCTCAAACATTTTTCTTGATGGGTCCCCTACTGCCACACAAGTATTTTCCTACCTGTCCATCACTGTCTTTGATAACCAACAGCACAGGTGTGTCTAATCCCACCATTGTCCGATACAAGGTCTTCAAGCTCATGCCATGCTTTGCAGTACTGTAGACAAGAGTCCATGGATAGCCAATGGTCCGTGGTGGAAGAGACTTTGTGAGCTATTAACAAGAAAATAACCCGTTATTTAATATATGCTTTATATTTAAGAATGTGTTACATGTAAATGAAAGCAGATTATGTTCCGCTTAACCACTTTTACGTGGCCTTAAAACCTAAGAACAAAACCTGAAGTTTCACAAATATATTTTCTACTTTTGTTCACTCAAGCAGGTTTCTTTTCCTACCTCTACTAGTGACCTGCAGAAGAACGATTTATCAACTAAAGAACAGGGCTCTTTAAGGTCTCTAAAAGGTTTATCCATATAATTATTCTTCCATAACAATATTACATATCCCACTAATGTCTTAGTATTGAGTAAGTAGATCATTGAAGTCAGCAGGTAACAAGGTGGAGGGTAAATGCTGCTTGTTGCCCCATTCTTGTGCTTTTTAATCCAAAACTTCTATTAACACATTTGCTACGAAATCACTTTGGACTGGACAGCAACAACTGCAGTGTTTTCACTGAAAGGATGGAAGTAGGGCAAAGACAAACAAGAGTCTGTCTGAATGCATGTGTATTCAAAGTTAGGATTTTTAAAAAGGCAGTATTTTAGCTATTAATCATGCTCTGCTTTGACACTTAGACACACATGTCTATGGTGCCAGATGGGATCCACCCAAGGAAACAGACAGAGTGGGAAGATATGCTCACTGAGCCACTTCCCACCGCTTACCAGTATTCCAGGATAACTGGGGATGTCCTAGTTAGCAAATGTGTGTCCATTTACAAGATGGGCTGTAGGAAGGACCCCAGGAAGTACAGGCCTGCCAGTCTGACCTCAGTGCCTGGGAAGGTCACCTTGAGTGCCATCACACAGCACATGCAGGAAAACCAGGGGATCAGGTCCAGCCAAGGTGGGTTCATAAGAACCTAGTACCTGGCAAATGTGATTTTCCTCTATGACAAGGTGACCTGCTTGGTGGATGAGGCTGTCAATATTGTCCACCTGGACTTGAGTAAAGCCTTTGACAGCACTTCCCACAGCACTCTCCTGGAGAAACTGGCTGCTCATTGCTTGGACAGGTGCACTGTTTGCTGGATAAAAAACTGGCTGGATGATCAGGCCCTGAGAGTGGTGCTGAATGGAGTTAAATCCACTTGTGGCCAGTCACTTGTGGTGTTCCCCAGGGCTCAGTACTGGGGCCAGTCCTGCTTAATGTCTTTACTAATGAAATGGATGAGGGGATGAAGGGCATCCTCAGTCTGTTTGCAGATTGCAGCAAGCTGGGCAAAAGTGTCAATCTCCTGGAGGGTATGTGGGCTCTGCAGAGGGATCTGGATAGACAGGCTGGACTGATGGGCCATGGTCAACAGTACGAGGCTCAATAAGGCTAAGTGCCAGGTCCTGCACTTGTGTCACAAAAAGTCCCTGCAGCACTACAGGCTGGGAGAAGAGCAGCTGGAAAGAGGAAAAGGACCCAAGAATGCTGCTTGATAGACAGCTACGCATGCAATAGCAGGTGCCCAGGTGCCCAAAAATGGAATCATGACTTGCTCCCCTTGTCAACTGAGCACTGGTGAGGCCATACCTTGAGTGTTGTGTGCTGTTCTGGGCCCCTCACTAAAAGAAAACATTGAAATGCTGGCATGTATCCAAACAAGGGCAGTGAAGCTGTGTCTGGAGAGGACTGAGGGAGCTGGGATTGTTAAGCCTGGGGAAAAGGAGGCTCAGAGGAACCTCATCACTCTCTACAACTACCTGAAAGTAGGCTGCAACAGTCAGTCTTTTCTCCCAAAACAGGACAGGAGAAAAAGTCCTCAAGTAGAGCCACTGCAAGTCTGGATGAGATACTAGGACTAAGTTCTTCAGTGAAAGGACTGTCAAGCATTGGAACAAGGTACCCAGGGAAGTGGCTGAGTTACCAACCCTGTAGAAATATTTAAAGGAGGCATAAGCCATGGGACTTAGGGAAAGGGTTTAGTGATGGACTTGGCAGTGCTGAGGTAACAGCTGGACTCAGTGGTCTTAGCCATCTTTTCTAATATACACAGTTTATTTTCTTCTATTTAGTATCACACAAGGTCTTCTTACTGGTGTGTTTTACACTACAGTCATAGCATTTGTGATACCTTCATGTGCAAGAGTAAAAAATGATATATCTAAGCCCATACCTTTTCAATTTGTTCCGGCTGTAGTAATTCACTTGGATCACTAAGATTTGGCCGGAATGCTTCAGGCTCCAGGTCTGTTTTGATATTTGTTGCCTGTTTTGAATTGGTATCTTCTCTTGTTGTTATCTACAAAAACAATAGCAAGAAAATAAATAAATGCCACTCTATTAGCAGACAAGGTAAAACTTCACAGTTTAAAAACATGCAGTTATCAATTATGCAAGTCCTTCTGAAGTTCAGAAATCCAACAGATTTGATCTGACAGAGATTTCCACTGCTTCCAATAGCCAACTGGTACATTACTATATAACAATAACTTACATGGACACCTACTCAGAAAAAAGCTATGGTTCTATGCTAAAACAACAAACTGTTCTCATACACAGCTGAAGAGCTTCAAATGCTTTTCAGATGATACCTTAAAAAGTTCTTGCATTTTAAAACTGACATAGCATTCTAAGTGTAATTATAAAAAAAAAAAAACAGAAAGGAAAGGAATTAAAACTTTAATATGGACATTTCTCAGTAACTTCTGAATCAATACTCTTTTAGAGTACTTAAGAAATTTTTCAGATATGCAGTAGACTCTGGGAAGACTGCTGCCATATATTTTGAGCAAATCAAATGGAGCCTTAGGAATAGTGCTGCTCCATAAGATCTGCTGGATTACTTAAGGGAATAAAAGAAGAAAGAACTGAGATAGTGGGGTAGGAAAGCAGCAATAATACTTAAGCTGCATAGTGAGCACTGAGGTCTGGCAAAGACGCACTGTGCAGGGTCCTGCAGTAATTTAAAATACTTGACCTACATATCTACCCTATTGAGTGGAGATTGTAGACGCCACAAAGTTCCTCATCAGATGTAGCTCACAACAGCTTCTTACCCCAGTCAACCACCACTGGCACTTCAAGTTAAAATGCTGTGTCTCGATAACTAGAATAGCTGTGATCCAAACAGATTTCCATCTATAAATCCAGCTGCAGGGATACTTAAAGCTTTCTAGGAACAGTGAAATCCGACAAAGGAGTAGGACAGAGTGAGGAAGTTAGTAAGATAAGCCACTGCAGCAAGACTTACTAAAATGTTGAGAGAAAAAAGAAATCTTAACAAGATTAAGTGCATCTGAAAAATTTATTGGCCTAAACCAGGTTTCACTGAAAGCCAGACTGTCCAAATTAAATCCTGAATCCTGAAAATTTCAAGAAAATACTTGCCAAATCCACTTTGCCACATCCCTCATACTTTAACCATAGAGGACACAACTGCAATATTTCAGAGTTTCACCATGGTAAACTTTGCCAACCTTTTGTGAACTTCCTTAGTTAATTAAAAAAAAAAGGCAAATCAAATCAAACTCTGAAATACAGATAGGAATATTTAAACAAATACAGCCGCCTGAGCCAAAAGGAAAGTACACCCCTTTCATCTCCCTCAAGAACTACAAAAAAAGTTCTTATCACAAACTCGTGTTATTTAAAAATTGGCTTATAAAGTCAACATCTCAAAGTATATTCATACAGTAACTCAATTACAGTATTAATTCCAAACCCAAGAAAAGGTGTGCTTAAACCACGTATCAAGCAAGAAAAAAGCTGAAGTTTTCCTTTTTTCAGTGGAAGGTAACAAGAACTTGCAATGTAGACTAAGCACTAATCTCCATATCACAAGAAAAAATGCAATTATCCATGTAGTCTCATGTACAAAAAGATGACCTGCATGCTGCTTTAGAGAGTGCTATCTCTAAAATGTTATTTCATATTCCAAGTATTTTACACTTTAAATGCCTGTCAACTATCATATTAGGGCTTCAGCTCCAGAGAAGTTCAGCATTGTCCAACTGTAGAGCAGAGAGTTTTTCCCCTTGTCATTCTTTAATTTTCATTAAAGACCACCATGCAAAACATGAATAATTTGGATTCAAGTGGTGTGGTGAACTGAGCTTTTTGATTAAGAGTTTTTGGTGATTGGTCTACTTTTTTGATGGATTTTTTCCTTCTTTATTATTATTAAAGTAAAGCAGTTTTCTTCTAGGAAGAACACTGCTTTGTAGAAGCAGTCAAACAGTGTCTGTTGAAAAGAATCTGAGAGAAAGCACTCTTGACTTCAAAATCTGCAGATTTATTTCCTACCAAAGTTGGACAAAGCAGACTGAGCTGTAGTCAGATTTCAGGGGTTTCCACGATTGGTAAATGTCACACAGTCTACACCACATTTGAGAGCACAACTCTCAAATGACCTCAGAGCAGAGTTTATAGGCTGCAGCCTATCTCATCAGATTTTTCTGGTCAGCCTAAACAGGTATTTGATGAAGAGCTGATGAAAGGTATTTGTAAAGAGCTCCTACTCTTCCAGAACATTAATACAGGGATTCTCCACCACCACTTGCCAAAACTAGAATAGTTCTGTTCCCAAGTGGGAACAATTGTTTTTTGTCTTTTTTTGTTTTGTTTTGTGTTTTTTTTTGTTTTGTTTTTTTGTTGGGTTTTTTTTGTTGTTTTTTCAAGATTTTTGACTTTCCTATAACAGCGCAGCTTTTGGGTTGAAGGTTCACGCTCATTATTGATCTATGTAATTGAACTACTTACAAAACATTTTAAAGCAATTAATTTTGGATTATTAAACAAACAGAAATAACAAAGCTAAGAAAATGTTTGATTATTAATATGTAAAAAAAAGCCAAGATCAAAGATATAAAAAACCACAGGAAAAAATTTTACATTTTCAGCAGCCAAGTACTAGAGAAAAAACAAAAGACTCAATGAAATCTAAGGAAATCTAAGCTATGCTTTCTATCAGTAAGGCATGTATAATGTGCACAGCAGCTAACAATTTTATAGCTCTCAAAAAACTAAGGAACACCTAAAGAGAATGCAAATATCAGTTTCCATCCATAGCCACAGACCTTCAAAAATCCACACTGATTTCAAAGTAGTGTTTTGTGTGTAGGTATATGAACTTTGCCACGTTCAACTCCCTCAGTTACCTGCTTTTATAATGGGAAAAATACTTACCTATTTCACAGAAGTTGTGAAGCTTCATACTTGCCATTTACTGTGAGATTCTTGATGAAAGATTCCTATATAAAATTAAACACCCATGCAACAAAGTTTTGATTCTTCACCTGTTTTGCATTCTTTTTAGGGAAGCTTCTAACACAACACACCAGTCTAAAGTAGAAGTTAAAACACAACACTGCAAGTCAAGCAGCACTGAAAACAAATTTTCAAATTCTAACAGAAAATTCCTGTGTGAGAAAGGTGGAAGTAGTAATTCCATCAAAAAATTACTGATTCCATCATAGAATTGCACAATTAAATACATCCAAAGCAAAGGAATTTTCTGCTGGATCCTTGTAGTGCTGTAGACAAGACAAACCCACTGAGTGCAGGAATTGCCCTGATCCAAGACACTACAAAGAAAGATGTTTTAGTATCTGGAGATGGGGTTTAAACTACTGAAGAGGGCACCTGGAGACGTCTGCAGAGTGTGCGCAGTTCTTCGCTATTTAGAGCATCGATCCTGCGGTGATACTCAGCCACTGACACTACCTGAATATGGAGACAGGAAGACAATAATTCCACTGACAGTTGAAGGAAAGTAAAAAGGTATGAAAGAAAAAACTGGAGGAGAGTAATGAAGGGAAAATGTGCAATGACAACAAACAAACAAGAAGGGCCAAAAGATGTTTGTTTCTGCAAGGACAGTGCACATGTAGGTGATTTTAGACATATGAGTAAACACAGCAAGATTACAAAATAAACACTAAGGGCACTAGCAGTCAGACATCTCACTGATCTAGGATGAATAAAGAACTGATATAGGAGTGCATAAGTTTCCAGTATCAGGATGCTAAATGAAAAGTCAATCTGAGTTACATGCCTTAACCCAAACTCTTCAGCCCAAGGTCCTCTCAAACATTCTTTACACTCAGATTAATGAACCTTGTGAACCTGGTTTGCTTTCCTAGATGAAGACTAGAAGCAAATCTCAGGCTTCTCAGTAAACTCTAACTCTTGTGTCTGGGACCGAAGATAAAGACAATGTAGCAAGACTACAGTTTAATAACATCCCAATACCACCCGACAATTTCTTTATCCTGGACTTTCTACTCCCTTCCAAAGCTTCTGGAGTTGCTCATCTGTCAACACATTCATTTCAAATGGCATCTCCACTTTGGCAGGAGGTCTACAGCCAGAAAGTCTTTAGTCAGAAAGCTCTAGAACATGCTGCTCTGGTGCAACAAGCTGGCTAAAGGACTACAACAGTCATTTTGATGTAACTAGAGCAAATAATGTGATTTTGAGAACAACTCAAAATCATCATTGGTATGAAAGCATCTTTAAACAGCTGGTGAAGAGATTAAATGGATGTCCCATGTAGTAAGAGCATATTAAAAACTTCTAGAGCCTACCACAGTGCAAAGGAAGACAACCACAAGTCCAGCAGCTCCCCATCTACCTGTCCCTACTACAAGGAGTTTGGCCAGATACTCGCCACTGTCCTGAGTACAGAGCCCACAGTCATGCATGACTGGCTCTTGAGCAGCGATGGTTCACTCTACCCCATGCAACTGCAAGGCAAGGAAAAAGGAATACTTGTGTCATCCAGCTTCATTACTGAATAATCTGTCATTACTAGCACTCAATGTATCTCCATTATTTTTCTACTGTTCTCTCAAAACAGATAACAAATATTGTTGTAAATTGTATTGGCTTGTGTATTCTCAGAGTCAAATACCTATATGTAAAGTTTTAGCAGTATTCCACTCAAACATGTGATAGTGTATTTTTATCCTTTTATTTGCTATGACACTTCATTGCAAATTTACACTGTTCACACCAGCAATTTATGAACATAACCCTGAAAGCAGTAATGTGAGGACCCTTTAGCCTTACTGCTTCTTAAGCTGTACCCTACCACACGTGAGGCAGTAACTTACAATAGGCTGTAAATGCGTGGTTACTTAAGGAGATTCTTGAGAAAAAAAATCTCAAAATCTCCAACACCATTATATAGTTGTTGTTTTGCATAGGGGAAATGTAGACGGTTTTATGGGCACTGCCATCTTGCCTTCAACCGCTCAAACGCATACTTGTCATCATCTTGCATCTGTGAATTGCTTATTAGCTTTTTAACTCAGAGATCGACCTTTTCAAATGCCACGGAGATGCCTCATTTTTCTTGCTTGAGAGAAACATGAATACCTATTCATGTGTGTACAATATAACAGCTTCTTGGCAGGCTGAATCTGTTGCACACTGCCACATTCCATTTGTTTCGAGAACAAAAACCTGCATAATGGCAGACCATTGGTATGCAATGACAAACATCATAAATAGCATGTCATAGAATGTCAAACTAGCCACAGGAAAATTAAAGGAAAAGAACCCACGCTCTCAAACCCAGAGTTTATTTTAAGTATAGAGTCTGTACAGTTCATATTAGCATACAGTTCATATTAACTTCCATGAGTAAACCATGAGAAACTGTCTCAAGTTTATCCACTCATCACTGAACTAGGCTTCAATCAATTATGTTAAGATACTTCAACCTTTCAGATGCAGCACCTGGCCTTCTATATAATGCCTGTGGTTTAGGCCAACATGCTTTACTCTTGCTCTGCAGTGGACAAGACTATAATACTTCTTGATTAAATGAGCTACAGAATCCTAAAGTCACACGTCTAAGCTTACTAGCAACTACCTTAAAGTTCATTCAGGAATTGAGATATATCTTGCAAACAGACAGCATTTTGTCCCTGCCAGGCTCAAGAGCACTGCTTTGAAATGTTAGTAGTAACATTAGAAGTTTATTCTTCCTTATAACCTGGTTTAATTCATAGACTGCTTATGCTATTTCCTCTTCCATCAAGATTTCCTCATGTTCCTTCCTTGCAGTCCCATTAATCTTCTAGTCTATTTCACCAAGCTAAATAAACCAGTGTTTTCTTATGTCTCCTGCCCCACTCCCTGCCCCTCATCAGCTGCCTGTTTTCCTATCATTCCAGGGCCTACTTCTACCTCATTCTACTTTGAACTTGGATTCTCTAACACAGAACGTAGTCTTTCATACCGTATGAGAAATACCTAGAAAGCATCTACCTTAATAGATGGTATAGATGCAGATTCATATTCATCATAATGGACTGTAGTTTTCAGTACAAAATACTCTGTTGTGATAAAATTATTCCATTAAAATAATTAGTTTAACGTCTACCTACATGGCTTTGCTATGTGCTTTACTTATTATGCTCTCTTTACTATGCCAGAATCCAGTTTCCTGGATAACCAAAGCTGATATTTGAGGATCAGGAAATGTTCCTGAAGGACACTTTGTTCTCTCTCTAGTTTTTTCTGCTTTAAAAAGAATGTAGGAGAAGAGAAAACCAGCTAAACCTCTTATGGCTGATCTGGGCACTGGCTGGAATAGAGCAGAACAAGTAACGGGTATAGCCTGGATTGCTAGTGTACTTCAGGGCAAAAAGGGCTCTGAAACTGTCTATTGCAGATGATACAGCACTGGGAAGAGCTGCTGACTCCCTCAAAGAGATGGAAGCCCTACAGAGAGACCTCAGCAAATCAAAGGACTGGGCAATCACCAACCACATGCAGCTCAACAAGGGACAGTGCTGAATTGTCCTCCTGAGATGCAGCAACCCTGGATGTATGAACAGACTGGAGAATGAGATGCTGTAAGCAGTGCCATGGAAAGGGACCTCGGAGTCCTGGTCAATGGCAAGTTGAACATGAGTCAGCAGTGCCCTGGCAGCCAAGGCGAGCCAAGAATGTCCTGGGGGCATCAGGCACAGCATCACCAGCTGGGCAAGGGAGGGGATTGTCCTGCTCTGCTCTGCACTGGGCGGCCTCACCTTGAGTGCTGGCAGCAGTTTGGGTGCCACAAGAAAAGACAGATAGAACACTATCAGAGAGTGCCCAAAGGAGGCCAACAAAGATGGTGAAAGGCCTTGAGGGGAAACTCTATGAGGGGAGGATGAGGTCACTTGGTCTGTTCAGCCAGGAGACCTCACTGCAGTTACGACTTCCTCATGAGGGGAAGAGGAGAGGCAGGCACTGATCCCTGCTGTGTGGTGAGCAGTGACAGAAACCCAAGGGAATGGCCTGAAGCAGTGTCAGGAGAAGTTTACTTTGGATATCAGAAAAAGGTGGATATCAGAGGGTGGTTGGGCACTGGAACAGACTCCCGGGTGAACTGGTCACAGTACAACTGGTGGAGTATCAAGAAATCTTTGGACAATCCTCTCGGGCACGTTATGTGAATTTTGGGGATGGTGCTGTGCAGGGCCAGGAGTTGGAGTTGATGATCCTTGTGGGTCCTTTCCCACTCAGCTTATTCTGTGATTCCAAGTTTGAAAAGACGTGGAAAATATCCTTAGAGATCTAATACTACCTGCTGTATTCATATTGGCAGCATTGGTGAAAAAACACAGGATGAATTGTATGACTCGTGGAACGACTCTTTAAACTTTCTAACCTCTCCACACTATGTTAACCACTTAGCAAAACACCCAGCAGTTTTAATATTTAATGCAATAAGTCAAGGGTTTGCATACTAATGATTCAAACAATCAAGAAGCCAAGGATTTTCCTCCTGGAGAAACTCACGTTTCTAAACTTTGTTTTTCTGAAAATATCTCAACAGTACCTAACTTTACAAGCTACGCTGGCCACCTGCAGTGAACGAAACTGAAGAGAAAATTCCAAATAAGGAACATTTCTTGTCCTTCAACAACACACATGAAAATGCAGTTAAATTTTTTAAATGTTTGATCAGCTCCTTCAGCCACTGGCCACATCATCCTGCTACAGGCAGATGTAAAAAAAGCTTTTTACACCAGTGAGGGATTCCTCAGTTTAACAAAGCCACAAGTGACAACCCCCACCCTTTCCCCCCCATGCCTGTTTGCTAACAGGGAGCAGCTTTCATTGCTGCCCTCAAAACAAACAGCTAAACGTCCAGAGCTAACAAGTAGCTGAAACTGTCTCCATAGAGAATGGGAGGGTCTTATCAGAGCTGAACAGTGCTTCTGGAAGTAAGAACAGATAAAGCGTAACAGCATAAACAGCTCTGAAATATAAGTTACCTATATCCATAAATTTGTTACCAACTCAGAATATGAAATTAAAAAAAACCAAGTATTAAGAAAGAACACAAGCTGAACAATTTTACTTTGAATCTTAATACATAATACTGAATCTTAATACATAGGTGTAAACTTGGCTGAACTGTAAACTTCATGAACATTAATTCCCGAGATTGAAAAATTTCAAGAGATTTAACTGAAGAAAAAAATCCCAAAGTAGTTTTATTAGGCCACTTATAAAGTTACTTTAGAATGCCTTTCAATAAAAAGGTGCCTATGCGAACTGAATGCTGCAATGAATATTTTAAGAGAAAACACTAACTTTATTTTTCAGACAAATTTCATTTCCTCCCAAAAATATTAGACTGCTGGAGAGAAGACAATATTGAAGAAGCACTCTGCTCCATCATACCAAATATCATTATTTGGGACATGTTGATTTCATCA